AAATCACATTCATATTCCAAATATGACTGCAACACTCCCCCTTGAGTGTGTAAATACTCAACAAAACATCACATCAGATCTTCAGCAGATAAGGTAGACAGTTGATGAAGTCGGCAGCACAACAGGTGAATGTGAGTCTGAAATTTAAAAGAAAGTATGCATTGGTAGTAAAGCTCACAAAACCTCGCTATGGTAAAACCCAAGGCACGAGGAAAACCCATAAACTAAGGAGAAAAGTGAGAAGTATGCATAATGTCTAAAACCAACGTCAAATAGGACGAAAGTAGTGAACTCAACGGAGTATGATCATCCCAGGATGGGTGCCTCGTTAAAACCTCGTTAGGTAACAAAAACCCAGTGGGAAAAATGTTCCTAATCATAGGAAAAAGAGTACATTAAGATCAAGTGAGTATGCTTCAGGATACTTCTCCTGAGTTAGACATAACTTCTAAATAAAAGAACTACAAGCAATTCAACTCAGATTATTTACTCATACCAATTCCTTGGACAAGCTTCTGAAAAGTAAACTTGGGCAATGACTTAGTGAAGAGATCGGCCAGGTTGTCCTGTGAATGGATTTGCTTAACTTCAATGTTTTGATGCTGTTGTTGCTGGTGAGAATAAAAGAACTTCAATGCCATGTGCTTGGTGTTGTCTTTCTTGATGTATCCCTTCTTTAACTGCTCAATACATGTTGCATTGTCTTCAAAGATCGTCATAGGAAGGTCAACAACGGAAGTTAGACCGTTTGTGCTTCGAACATGTTCCATGACTGCTCTCAACCAAAAGCACTCACACGATACTTCATGCAGGGCGAGAATCTCAGCATGGTTCAAAGAAGTTTCAACTAGCGTTTGCTTAGTACACCTCCAAGATATAGTGGTGTCTCCAATGGTAAAGACATAGCCCGTTTGAGAACGTGTCTTATGTGGGTCAGACAGATATCTAGCATCTGCGTAACCAACAAGGCGAGAATCAATCCAAGAACTGAGAGGGGCGGCAACTTTCGAAGATTCACAAGTATAGAACAAGCCCAAATCCGTTGTACCCTTGAGGTAGCGAAAAATATCTTTAACACCATTCCAGTGTCTGCGTGTGGGCTTATTGCTATATCTAGCCAATAAATTAATAGCGAATGAGATGGCAGGTCTAATGCATTGAGCCAAGTACAATAAAGCTCCAATTGCACTTAGGTATGGAACTTCGGGTTCCAAAATCTCTTCCTCATCCCCTTTTAGACGGAAGGGATCTTATTTAGCATCTAGAGTCCGAATGACCATAGGTGTACTCAAAGGCTTCGCTTTATCCTTATTAAAACGTCGCAACACCTTTTGGATGTAGTTCGATTAATGTACTAGAATTTCATCCGAACAATGCTCGATCTCCAGACCGAGATAATATCAAGTTTTCCCAAGATCTTTCATCTAAAATTTCGATTTCAGGTATGCGGCAATTTCCTTAAGCTCTGCAGGAGTTCCAATGAGGTTCATATCATCGACATAAACTGCAACGATCGCAAATCCAGAATGTGACTTCTTTATGATCACGCATGGGCATAATTCGTTGTTCACATAACCCTGACGCAGAAGCCCGTAGTAGACCGTCTGCTATCTAGGCAGCTAGCCCAGTCGGCATCGGAGAATGCAAAGAATGTGGTCAACGGTACCGGAGTGAAACCACACGTTGTTCTTGTGGGTTTGTTGTCAAATATTCACTTAGACGGTTATACCACATCCGCCCAAATTATTTCAATCCGTAACGTGACCTTCTCAATCTAACCGAGAAAGTGTTATGTGGTCTAGAACTATTTGAACCAGTCAATTGAAGTCCTTCTAGAACTTTCATATATATTTCCATATCTAGATCCTCATAGAGATACGTGGTTACCACGTCCATAAGCTACATATTCAGTTTTTCGTAAACTACCAAACTGATTAGGTAGCGGAACGGTATGACATCCATTAGGGGGAATACGTTTCCTCATAATCAATCCCAGGGCGCTGAGAGAAGTCTTGCGCTACGAGGCGTGCTTTGTATAGCACTATTTCATTCTTCTTATTACGCTTCCTCACAAAAACCCACTTATAGCCAACGAGTTTCACATGTGGTGGAGTAAGAGTTATGGGCCTAAACACCGTACGTTTCGCAAACAAATCGAGTTCGACCTGGATGGCTTGTTTCTAGTTTGATCAATCTGTTCTACGTCGGCATTCATCAACGGAACGTGGTTCAATGTCATTGCTAAGCACGATGTCAGTAGCTACTGTATTTGTAAATACATTGTCAACGATCATCTCATTCTGATTTCAAACCATATTCAATACTGCGTAGTGGACCAAAATCTTGCGATTCTCGGGAGGTCGGTTTGTCTTATCTAAGACATCACCGTAATCTAGAATAACCTCATGCGTTGGAACATATGAGTGAGCCATGGTCGGATTCAAACTAAGGTCACTAGTTGGTGTCGATTTCCTCTTCCGAGGTTGTGAATCCTTTAAACCAAAGGGTCTGCCACGTTTCAGGGTCGAAGCTGATGATTGGCTAGCTGCCAATGTACCATGCCACATGGAAGTTATGGCCTCCCCACCTTCGGGGACGGTCCAACATTCCCAGGTGGTGTTACATCGTACATGGGTTACGTTTATCCTTACAGGTGCATTTGCAACTGGTATATGTGATCTTGTCACCTTTGCTAAATCAGTAAAAGCATCTGGCATGCTCTAAGCAATACTCTGAACATCTATAATTCGTTGCACCTCAGTTTCAGACTAAGCAGTGCGGGGATCTAGATGAGACATAATGGAAGCATACCACGACAATTCGCAGTGTTCTCCAAGAACGTTAGCATACTTATCTCCCCCTAATGACGGGAAGATTGTCTCATCAAAGTTATAATCCGCGAAACGTGTGGTAAAGAGATCTCCTGTCAAGGGTTCTAAATAACGAACAATTGATGGTGAATCATAACCAACATAAATTCCCATTTTTCTCTGAGGACCTATTTTGGTTCGTAGTGGCGGGGTTGGCACATAGACTGCGCACCCAAACACACGTAAATGTGAGACATCAGGCTCATATCTAGTAACCAACTATAACAGTGAATGAGGTTGGGTAGCGATGGGCCTCAGGCGGACCAGCATAGCTGCATGCAATATTGCATAGCCCTAGGCAGATACCGGCAGTTTGGTTCGCATAATCATAGTCCAAGTTATCAATTAAATGCGCTTTATTAAAACTTTTGCCAGGCCATTTTGGGTGTGAACATGGGGTGCAAGATGTTCCACTTCAATCCCTACTGACATGCAATAATCGTCAAAATTCTATGACGTAAACTCTTCAACATTATCCAGTCGAATCGACTTAATCGGATAATCAGGGTGGTGAGCCCTTTGCTTAATAATCTGTATTAAGAGTTTCGCAAATGTAACGTTGCATTTGGACAACAAACAAACATGTGACTATGTGTCGATGCATCAACCAACACCATAAAATATCTAAATGGTCCGCATGTTGGTTAGATAGGTTTACAAATATCCCCTTGAATTCTCTGAAGAAACTTCCCCAAAGAACACGCTTTGCATGGTGGAAATCCAACGTAGGGAGGTAACTGATGCCTATGTGATGATTTGAGGATACGACACATCATGTCACGTCTGGGATGTCCCATACGATCATGCCAAAGCAGCAAAGTGCTCTGGAACTCAGGCATAGGGCTGGCCACATAGTGGGCTTCTATGTCGTGAATGGTTGTTATGTACAAATTTCTCGGGAGACGTTCCAACTTCTTATGAATACATTTATGGCCATATTCATATGAAGTGATACAAAGAAATTCAGAACCATTATCTTCAATGGTTTCAATATGATATTGATTATCTCGAATATCTCTAAAACTTAAATGTTCTTCCGAAACGTGGAGAATAGAGGGCCTCTTTAATGGTTAAGACAGTACTATTGGACAACATGATACGGGCCTTTCCATATCCTTCAATAAGGTTGGATGGGCTTAAGAGAGTTGTCAGAGGTGCTTTCTTAGGTACAAAGTTAGTAAAATAGTGTCGCTCATGCAATATGGTGTGCATGGTAACACTATCAGTCAGACAACTAACTTCCCCACTAGACATATACCTAGAAATAAATTAATTGAATTGATCACATGCATAAATATAAGGAACTTTAAAGAAAAGCTCCCAATACTGTTCACCTTAACGAAAAATCACATTTTTACATTAAAAAGTCAATTCTAATACTATTCACTTTACCCTTTATTTTGTCCTTATTGTTAAAACTCAAAGTTTTTAAGCCATTTTCATTAGTTTTCCTTAAATATAATTCCATTCATTCAATTAATCAATTCGAGGAGAAATAATATCCATAAAATAACAATCCATAATTTAAAACAAACCAAAACCTAACAAATTATTGCAAATACTTAGAAAAATTGTCCAAAATTAAACCATAAACCTAGTAGGCTCGGCCACTAAGGGTAAAACATCCTAAAACTATGTCTAAAATGTATTCGTCCATAGAAGCTGATGCCTCATGAAAATCTATTATCTCCATAGATGTAGTAGCATCTTCGGGATGATCCACATGTGCAAAGTTAGACTCACGACAGGAATGATACTTGGCAATGGCCTCAGGGATGGCTCAGCATACGCGTGACCAATGATCCCTTGATCCACAGTAGTAGCACATTTCCATTTTAATGGAAGCCGATTGAATGGTAGCTTTTCCCTTGTTCTTGAAGTTTGGGGCCTTCGGGGCAAGGGGTTGGCGCTTCTGGGACACATTTCCTCTCTTTGGTGGGCCCTGACTCTGTTGACCTTGGGCTTATGGTTGGGCTTGCCGCCCATTGACACGGCCACAACGATTCTTGCGTCGTTTGTGGCTGCTAGAATTTGTTGTATACGCTTTAGGTGCGGCGTTCAAGCCAACCGATCGAGCTTGATGATTCTTCATCAAAAGCTGGTTTTGTTTTTTCAACGAGAAGTAAAATAGAGATCAAAACCGAAATTTTGGTGAACTTCTATGCCCTATATTGTTGTTGCAGGACAATATTGGTGGTATGGAAGGTTAAATAGATCTTCTCCAGGAGATCTAATTTGGTTAATTCCACTTTACAGAACTTCAGTAGTGATCGGATTCTACAAACTTCAGAGTTGTATTCATTCACGGACTTAAAGTCTTAGAAGTGAAGATGCTGCCAGTTGTGTCTTGCTTCAGGCAAGTAGATGTCTTTCTGGTGATCAAAATGATCGGCCAAAGCAAACCAGAGGGTGCGTGGGTCCTCCTTAGCGACGTGCTCAATCTGAAGTGCATCATAGATGTGTCTTCAAATCAAGATCATTGCATTAGCTTTCTAAGATTCGTCAACAGGTTTGTTGTCGGTAGGTACCTCGATGGTGGCACTAATACCCTTTGCAGTAAGATGGAGCTTCACATCTTGAATCCACTTCAAGTAGTTTCTTCCAGATACTTCCAGAGCGGTGAAATCGAGCTTGTTCAAGTTCGACATGTCCCTAAAACGGAAGGTGCAACAAAAACATGGTTAGTCATATGATGATCCATAGACATACATTGTAGAACATTCAGGTTCTATAGACATGTATTGGTTTAATTTATGCATGAAAGCTATAGGTTTCATGTGGTAAGTTTTGAATGAAAACTTCGAGTTTTAAAGGCATTAAATATGAAACTATAGGTTCAATTTAGTTTTATGAACGATTAGTTCATAAAGAAGAGGTTCCTGGAAGAACAAAGAATGCAATATGTTGATTTAAGTGTAGTGGATTTAAGTTGCTTTGGGAACTCAAGTGTGAGTGCTTCGGGACTTCGAAAGCATGGTTCAAAGTATAAAAATAAATTATTGAATCGTTAATGTCCCAAAGTGATCTTCAGGTCAATAATTTTGGATTAATTATCAGATTAATGGACTGCAAGTCACTTTTAATTAATTCAACAGATCGAGAGCAAACGAGGTAGATCGTGGAAGTAGAAAAATGACAAACGGGTCATATTAGCTTCGGTTAGTGATAAACCATTTGATAATTAAATTAGAATTAATTAGTGTAAACCAAAGCACCCCAAAAATATTTTGGGCATGATTTATAACGTAGGGATGCCAAAAATTGGCATCAGGTTGAAAAAAAAGACACGAGGGTGGGCCCTGCAAGTACGGATGCAGTCTGATTGGGCCTCGATGAAGGCTGCAGGCCTCTGGCCGACCAGTCTGGGTGAGCCCAACAACAATAGCTGTTGGCATTGGGCTAAATTAGACACGGGTGCAATCCAGCAAAAAGCTAACCGTGTGTTGGTCTAGGAACCCCAACCGAAGCTGGGTTCGGGTTGGGGCAAGCCAAGCCCAGCAACATAAAGGCTGCTGGCAAGTAGGCCTAGGCGAGGTCAAAGTCCAACAAGCGGCATGGGCTTAATGCAGGCGAGCCTAAGGCTCAAGACAAAGCCTAGCAGTTCAAGGTTGCTGGTAGCTTAGGCCAGGAATACATGGACAGGTCCAAGAAAGGTTGCAGGCTTTCTGTGAAGATAGGTTAGGCTTCGGGCCAGTGTAAGTCAACCAGGCCGAAGGCCTAGTGTGTCTGTGTAGCCGCAGCAAAGCCCAGAGGGCTGCTACTATGGTCCTAACGTCGAAACGATGTCATCCTGGTGGTGTGCTTGATGTGGCTAGGCTATAGGCCAGCGCAGAGGACAGCGGCAGTGCCACGGCGATGGTGCAGTCGTTGTGCCGCACGATTCCCAAATTTTTTTTTTTTTTTTTTTGACTTCTCTAGGGTTTGAAAAACCCTAACATGGTTCTAGTTTATTTATATGCTTTGACTCACAAATTCCACATAGCAATATAATTGCATAATGCATGAAACATATATATATATATATGACAAATATATGAAACATATACAATATATATCAGATGGAAAATATAAACATAAAAGGTTCATGCATCATGGAGAATGTTTTCATGCTTCATGGTCATTTCAAATATCTTCCTTTATTTTAGATGTACCTGATTGGCAGAAAACAAATAAAAGCCTTTGAATTTTGTGGGAGAGAGCATCCTCCTACGATCCGTTAGTTCCTTAGCTTCTGGAAAAAGCGTGCTGATAACGTGTTATAGGCCTATTTAGTTGAGCTATTCTAAGGGAATAGAGAGAAGGGAGGCCAGCGGCAACAAAAGAGAAAAAGAGAGATTTAATTATGAGATATGTGTTGTATCACCCCATTGTGCCTTTATTTATAGTAGTAGGATAGGTAAAATCTTTACCCCTTTAGGATTACAACTCTTAAAAGGAATCAGACTACTAAGGGGAATATAAAAGACATCTCTAAATACACTAGGATTTACACAATCACATTCCTATTCCAAATATGACTACAACAAAAATGTCTTTTTTTTCTTTTTCATGTCATCCTTGATCATAGGCGTTGTCAAAGATAAAATATAAATTTTAAATCAAAATGCAAATGTAGCTTGAGAAATACAATTTTCGTGTTGGGCATTATGTTTTTCAGTCTTGCTATTCTTCTAGAACAGCAACTGGTTCATTGTTGGAGAAATTTTGCACATCAGATAAGGAACTCAAAATGCTACCATGCAGGATTCTAGTTTCACGGGGTCCCCTGACCAAAAGGACTTTTAATTCTCACATCTATCAACGAATTGAAACCTTGTGGACGCAGTTTTGATATGCCGATATGCACATGTACAAGAGAGTCGGAGCAGAAGGTGAGAGACATCGAATTATCTACCAATGCGATAAATTCCATCGCTGCTGTAGTTTATCCCTTTGTTATAACATAAAATTCCTATTCATCCTTCCTCCTAAAACTAAACCCTATGTACAAAGCAATTATTTCCAATAGACCCCAGAGATGTCAGATAAAATGACGAACCTTGTCGGTAGGATATATCTTTAACAATATTGAGACAGTATTCATCAATCTAGCCGATCCCTTCCTTTGTTCCATTCCGTTGTCAACAACTTCCTTTGCTTCTCTCGTTTGTTTGATGTCTTTTCCGGAACCCAAGCTGGTGGTGGCATCATATAAGAATGCTTCACGACATCTGCAGTTGAATGTTTAATATCCGCAACTGACTCCTTAACAGACCTGCCAGGCGATGACCTACTTGATCTGGGCGTAGACCAAGTTATTGTTCCTTGCCTTACAGAACTAAAATTAGTGAAATCCCTTTTATCATCAATCAAAGAGAGCTTGGGCTTCTTTGGGGGCAGCATCTGATCCACGCTTCTCCTGGGATTGTCGGACCCAGATACCGCAACTGATGTCCCATATGCTTCTTCAGGTTTCTCAATTGATTTCAACTTCCGAGCTTTCATGGCTTTTTGTGAAGGCTTCTTTGGCCATCTTATGATTCCATCTGGATTTTTACTAGAGGTAAGAGTTGCCATGTCACAGAGTGTTTGAGCAGCACTTAATACTTTTGGACAATTCTCATCTGAACAAGCAAAAAAATCTCATTACGAAACGCACAAAACCACAGCTGGAGAGGCAGAAAATAGAAATCAAGTGCATCCAGGGTAACGGCTAAAATCTTTTTAAGCCAAGAACAAGAAAATAAATTATTGTGCAACTGATGAGCGACATTCATTTCCTATTTCCTAACAAGGCTATAACCTATCAAAACTATTTACTTTTCCATCTAAAGCAGATATCATGCATTCTTTGGTGCATCCCATGATCCGATCAATTGGGAAACTACCAGTCAAAGAGCTAATCTTGGCTACAGCTAGATCATGTAATAAGGACAAGATGTCTATTTAGTTCAATCCTGTGACTTGGTATAACAAAGTAGGCCTCTTGGAAATAAGTTTTAGTGCCAAAATGGAATCGGCATTCTTTGTCATCTTCCTCAATACCTTCTTTATACATCACCCACCACTCCCCAAGCCCCAAGCCCCAAGCCCCAACCACAAACACATGCATTACACGTACAAACAAAAGCATAAAGAGAGGCTAGCAACAGGTACAAACCGTACCATTACAATCTCCTGAATGATTCAGCTTGCCTCCAGATTCTGCATTTCCAAAAAATCAAAATTATAAAAGGCGATGTCCCAAGTGGGGGGACTGACAGGAAAAGTATATATTTCCAGCAACAAATGTAACATATTCAAGTTTTAGTATGTAAATCAAACTCACGATGGCATTCCCAAAGAAACAAGAAATATATGAATTACCTTGTGGAATGTAGGAATCATTCGAAGGTGTCGTATTAGATAATGAATCTCGCTGACATCGAGAAAAACTAACAGATATGGATGGGGAAACTTTATTTTGGGAACCAGAAACTTTTAGTCTTGCGGAAGGAACTAGACTCTGATCATAGGTTAGTGACTCCAAGTCTGTCAAATTATCAGTGGCATTCCCCAATGAACTAAGAATATTTTTGTCAACTCTTAGCCATCGGCCTTGGCATGTGCCCCTGCTTATGGACTGTTTGGCTGCATCGGAACTGGATCTACAGTGTCCATTAGAAGTATGTGACCATGGAAAAGAAGGCAAGCTTGCTCGGCGAGATATTTGCTTGCCTGAACATGGATCAGGAGTATTTTTGGAAGATGAAGCAGGTTTTGCAGCATCCAAAAGCACAGATTCCAAATCCTTGTGTGGAGGAAGGGCCAAGCGTTCCAAAACATACTTAGGTTCACACAATGGCAAATCAAGGGGATTAACAGGAGCTACGGGCTTTCTATGAGAATCCTGTACATATACGACAAAAGAGAAACATACATCATCAATCATTAGTAAATTTCATCATTAAAAAAATGAATAAGACACCAGTAGTTGGACAACAAAACTAAAATCCTTGTCAGTGGAGCCTAAGACTAATAACTAAAATATGCAAATGTTCACAAAAGGAATCCAAACTTTAGTTTGGTCCAGCAGCATGCCTATGCTGGATTATTACTCTGAAGAATACCTTTTGCATGATTTGCCATGTAAGCCTCAAACTTACAGTTTAATCAAACAGGTCAAATGAAAAACTGAAAGTTTTCTTCAGGGCTAATATATCTTATATTACCACTGAACACTGACCTCATTACATGAAGACAAATCTGTGATGAATGGTTCTCCTTTATCACCACCGACACCAGAAGCTGCAACAGAAGTCGTGCTTAACGGCCACGGTGACATTACCTTGTCAGAATTGCCTTCTACCTCAGCAATAAGTTGGGGCTGGACAGACCTCGCCTGCTGAAGGGTAGAACAAGCCTTTTTAACTGCATGCAGAAAACTATCGTTTACATTCGCTGGTTTCTTCCCTTTTCCCCTGCTTAAACTAGGACACTTGTATGTCCCATCAAGGAGTTCATTTAGTCGCACATCATCTACCAGCTTTGTAACATCATGATTATCTGACTTAAGGCCATGTACTCCTGACATTCATTTAAATTACAATTTAATTTTTGCACAGTATGCACATTGAAAGTCTGGTAATAACGGAACAAATATCCTCCTTTAAGGAGGTCAACGATACATCAAAGGAATTTGGCTTCAGTAAGATGTCATACCATAAAAGTTGTTTCCACCAGCAGCTGAACTGAAGCTTGCCAAACCTGGCTTTATAGAGAAGGAATCTTGTTTTGTCTTTGCAGGAAGTTTGAGATTTCTCTTTTCACCTCGCTTGCTTGTAAAGTTATTCTTTGGTTTCACCAATTGAGTCTTATCTGGAATGTATAATGAAAGGCACAGAAAAGTTCTCACCACAAACTCTTAAAATCCATGAAAAGCAAAATCCAAGAGATTTAAAGGGACAGACAGTGGGGCTATGTATCGTGTTATGGCCTTAGAAAGTCAAAGCATACATTTTGGAGACAGCACTTGCAGGTTAATATTTCCAATTTCCAACCACCAAATAAAATTAACGGTTCAACTTGCTAATGCTATAAAAGAAGAAAATCCTGCATGATACGATGGACACATAGAAACTAGCACATGAAGGCCTCGTTTGGGTCTAAAGGATTGGAGGAATAGATGACTGATTTTTGGATTAGAAGGAGATATGACAGTAAAGACACTTATTTCATTTGTTCCTTCAACATACCATGAATATAGTGGGTTGTCCATTGCAATCCACTGCTAGTGACCAACCGAGGCCTAAAGAAACTAGCGGGGCATAAATTTTTCAATTTTCAAAGAATGAGAACTAGTAGATCAAACTGAGCTTTAAGGAATAAAAGAATTTGCAGAAAGACGCCTCAGTCATTGGAGGGAAACTCCTTTGATTACCTATTAAAGTTCCATTCCAGAGGGGTCCATAAAATAAAAAATGTTCCAGTTCAGCTATTGAACAAACGTCAAAATGATCCATGTGCTATAACCACTAATGTTTAACAATAATTTTAAATACGAAAAAAATTGCTTATAAGCCCATAGAGATTATATATAATTGGTTATCAAAATATCACACACCTGCAAGCTTGCATGGGAAAATGACAAAGGGTTTGGTTTTAACATATATATAGTTGACTGTAAGTAATTTGAGTTTCCATACGTGGACAGAGTTTTCAGTATTGGAATATTTATCCTCATGCAATGTTTTTATTCTGGATTCTCCGTCACATATGCTTCAGTAAGAAAAATATTTAACTCCAATCAACTGCAACTAATCCATATTACTCTGATGTTAAGCAACAGACTGACAATAGCTAGATGCATGTTGATGTGGCCAACAGCAGTAAGAGCTGTTTGGGAAATCTTAATTTTCCCCAACATCAAGAACTGTGTCAACAAAGTGGACTTTCCAGCGAAGAAAATTTTACATTAGCTGCATTAAACAACTCCAGAGAAAAATAGACAAAATTACTAATCAAACGTTTAACTGACTAATAAATACAGACCAATTAAAATTTCACATGTGAAGAGACCACGGATGGCATCTACCATCATTAAAAGACTTCCCCGGGTCAATTTGTTGAATTTGGAATCCTGATGATAATAAACAAGCATTTATGTTCAAAACTAATTCTAAGTTCCAGAACAAGCATATATTACCTGAAGAACCACACTTTGTAAGTACCGGTCCAAGCTTAAATGACATATCCTTTATCCCATCAACATCAGCAGCAACGCTCGTTGGATCTTCCAATCGATCAACACGTGGTCTCTTAGATGACAAACTAACCAATTTTGACACCTTCCCTGGTTTTTCTAACTGTATGCTTTCAACACCAGTATCCAACAAAAAACCACTTTTGCCCCTGCCATGTAGGTGCCTGGACGATTCTTCACCCTGATTCTTGCACTGGCTCATCAGATCACTGATCTTAGTTGATTCATACTCTGAAGTACTAACCGCATTCGTTACCTCTGAGAACATAACCGAATTCCCCAGTACATAAAAGTATGAATCTTTTCAGAAACATAACAAGGCACTTCAACCAAGTATATCATAAACTAGAAAATTAAGAAGGTATCCACATACACAACCAAATGAAGAAATCCTGGTAAGAAACTAGAATAAAGGTAAAACTACATCAAAAAGTACTTAATAAATGAGGAAAATCAATTCTTTCGAGTACCATAAACTAACAGTCATAGAAAACCTCAAAATTTATGAAAATACAAATCTAAGCATGGAGAAAAACAGAAACCCCAATTCAAATGCCAAATAACACTAAAAAAAGGCCAAGAAACCACCTTTATCCCTCAAAGATGAGCTGCAAGCCTCAGCGTAAGCGCTAACACGAACGGAAACGCGGTCCGAATCACAAGGCTCAAGTTCCTTGACTGTAACCCCAGCTCTCACAAGCGCCTCCACCCCCAGAAACTTTGGCACCGCGGCAACATCCACCGGAAAACTCACGTCCACCGCTTCCATCACCAAAACACAATAAATACACAATACTCAACCGATAAATTTACTATACTCAGCCGATAAATTCACAGCAGTAGCCGCCGAACACCGCCTTTCGATCCATAACGGGGCGGAATCAGCTAAAGGCGAGCTAGCGATGACCATTTGGGCGAATTTTCTCGGGAAAATGTGCGGGAAATCGTGGATTTGGTGCGAGAAAGTGAGGGAAAGAGTGAGAAAATTGGGGATTTTGCTGGGAAAAGCATGTTGCGGCGAAATGGGGTTTCTAGGGCAAGGACAGGAAAGCGAAGAAGCGAAGTATTTATAGTTTTCGGGAAAGGGCGAGGTGTGTTTGGTAACGGGCAGTGAGAGGGGAATATTCCGGTGGGGTTAGCGTCGACGGGGATCCAAAATACCTGTTTTATGACGTGGCATTATCCAATCACCAATTTACACGACAAAATTGGGGATTGCTTGCGGTGGCTTCTCTAAAGGAGCACCAATGATAGAGAAGCATGTGTACTGTTGGTATTAAGTCAAGTCAAGTGCAGTGAAAATAGAAAAGCGAAGGGCTTGTTTTCTTCTCTGCTTCCTGACATTCTATTTTAATCTCATTTTCTTCTATGATACTTAAATTAGGAACGGATGCGTCATATTACAAGTTTTTATGGGATTCACGTTGTAATGTATTTTAACGATCTGAATCGTTTATCTTTTAGAACATAATTTATAGATCATGTGTACCAAAAACAATGGTTGTATTAAGGGTTAAGTTTATTTGTAGAACTGTTTTTATCTATTTTCTTCACTATAAATAAATATTTTAATGATTTTAGATTTGTCTAATTTTTTGTAAGGATGATCTATGAATAATGTTCTAAAAAATATACGGTTCGAATCATTAAAATACATTGTAGAGTCAACCCTACAAAAGTTTGTATTAAAAGTTGTGTAAAAAAAATGGTGACATGAATCCGTTCCCTTTAAGTTGTGTCACTTTATCTCCTGAAACTCAATTTTTATTTTTCTTTTTCATTATCTCCATCATTAAATATGTTCAATATTCTTATATTGCCGAATCTACTTTAACTGCTGATACGGCTGCTACACGCAGAAACCGTCCCTCCCTCACTAACATAGAAGGAACAAAAAAGCTCAATATCATTCCAACCATCACTCTCGGCAGCTTCTCTCCAATGTGACCCAACACTCCCGCGAAACTCACTTTTCATCTTCTTCTACCTCTTTCTTCTTCATGGAAAGAGCAACACTCTTGATAACTAGTAGCAAGTCACGATTATCCACATCTTTTGGGGGTCTGGAAGACTCACATAGGCATTTCAGCCTTCTCCGACCACAAATCTGGCTTCTACACCAGCAACACCCTTGATATATTTGGTCGAGAGAAGAAGGAGGTTGGGTGCGTGGATAGTTTGATATTTTCCTTTGTATTATGTTTTTTTTTTTTCATTCTATTTTCCTTTTTTTTTTTTTAATAATTTCAAATATTAATTATATCCAAAAAAAAATATTTAATGATATTAACATGGGGTCAGTTATATCTGCCACGGTATAGTTTTCTTGCTCGATGCTTTAGGCTTTGGGCTCGGGTTTGGGCGCCTGTGCCAAATCCTTCTTTTAGTTTTTTCGTATCTCCTGTACTTTTTTATTGAATTTTACCTCTTGACTAAAATAATAATAATAATAATAATAATAAACCAAAAGAAAGTTATAATGTGGACCGTTGTAATACATGACCAACTATAGTGGTATGCTTGCATGTTCAAAATAAACTAGTAATAATATGATTCATGAACAACCATGTATCATTCCTATTTATTAGTTGTTTTTTTTTTTGTTTTTTTTTTTTTTGGGTGAAAGCAAACAAGTGTTTTTTGAACATGCGATATTATCTACACTAAGGAGGTAGGGGAGTGGGCTAAGCTTCACCAAACGCCATGAAGGGTGAAGATGCACAAACTCGTTTACCCGTAAAACAACCAACAACAAACAACCATAAGTAACCTAAGCATCAGTGCAGTGCTAGCCAAAGGCTTTCCATGGTCAAGTTGTTAAGCCATATTTGAGACTCAATCAATAGGCAAGAGATTAGTGTACGATAATTGTGTTACTAGAGATGAACCTTACAACGCTATATTTTCGAGAAAAAGTCCTATTAGGATATGAAATCCATATTAAACCATGAGAATCTCAAAGGATATTTAAGAGTAGATATTGCATCCTCTTAGGAGTGTGAGTACTTGCAGCATACACAAAACCCTACATTGTAGGAATTCCAAGAATATAGAAAACCTAGTTGATTCCATACTATATTAGGTTTTCAAATCTTGTGAAACAAGCATGGTCAATCTTAACAAAGTCAACGGACTTCATCCACTGAATTAGAATAAGATGATGGTGGCATCGTTGATCTATCTGTGCAGCTATGTGATGGAAGTTATTGAGTTCATGACTGGACTTCTAAGGTACTCGTATTCTAATATGTCTTACTTCGGCCTGGAAAATCATGGTCCCACAATTGCCCTTAACAATGTATCTGAAAAAGTTATTCCCTTGAGAACAAATAGTTATCCAACAACCATGTGTTTCGAAGTAAATCATCATACATACGATTTCAAGTTCTTCTGACATGTGGAAATCTAGCCTTGTAACCGTCGCAAAGTAGTTAAGATGTTCCAGATTTAGACGTGTAGATTTGAAAGTCATGCCATAAATGTCGCAAATATGATAATGTCTTAATTGCGTGTGCACAGGGGACAAGGAACTATCCCTTACTTTCCCAATTGATTCCGACCATCAGATTCGTTGATCTTGAGGCAAGACAATCTGAATTCAATGGTAAGATGATTCTGAAATATCTTCTATCAATATATCAATATCTTCATATTTCTTTTATGTCTTCTTCACTTTTCAAAGTCTCCAACCCTTAAACTTTAGCCAAGCAATTTTCCAAAGCTCATGTCTTCTTTTCATCTGAAACTTTTGCTTTCCAGTTCCTTTTTCAATAACTTTATTTGAATCTATAACAACTTATGTTGGGGTTGGAACAGAGGTTGGCACGATCGGTTGCCCTTCCACAGTTATGGTACTTAGATTTCCATATTTGAAGGCAACAATATGGGTTCGTGGAGAGGTCCGCTAGAGTTTTGCAAGGCCTTTGTCTGCTTCTCGATGACTACAAAGTTTGCGTGGTTCTCAACCCGAGAAGTTGTGTAGGTCCTCTATAATCTGCTAACAGAAAAGTTCCAATAGTGAGAGCTTCATCATTCTCTGGGACGGTTGTAGCATCAAAGACTTAATTGCTCACACCTAAAGTAGTAAAGACATCAGAAAATGGGCTGTTCCTATCAAAGATGACAGAGGTGTTGGGAGATGGGTTGTTTCTCGTCTTAGTGTTAATGTAAGCACTAACTAAGCTTTCTCCTGCAGACATGTATGTGGTACAGCAATTTGGTTGGGAGGAATATGAGTTCACTCTCAATGAAAACATCAATTATTGTAACCAGATTCACGTACCGCCATGAAGGGTTAAGATGCACAAACGCGTTTATCTGTAAATAACCGAGTAATCTAAGGATCGGTGGTGTGCCGACCGAAGGCTCTCCAACGGTTAAATTAGTAAGCTATAATTGAGACTCAAGAAATAGACAAGAGAATAAATGTACAATGATTGGTTACCAGAGATGAACCCTCCAGTCGAGAAAGAGTCATTTTAGGATATATGATTCGTATTAAACTATGAGAATCCCAGAATAATATTTACGAGTAGAAATTATATGAAATTCCAGGATAGAATTTCATTATTTAAAATAGCGTATTTCGTATGATGTAGTGTTACGACGTGTTTATATTTTTTGTGTAGATTATTTTTTTTTAACATTTTAAAGGACGAAAATGCCCATGTTGGCCTACGTAAAGTTTTATATTAATGTATTAAATCTTTTATGTTTCGCTATATTTCTCGGCATATTTGGATAGTACATGTCGATACGAACGCATAGGTACAAATAGAACGTAATTTGGAGTTAAAACGAAAATTCTACGAAGCTTGAAACTTCGATAGTATTTTGGTAAATTGATAATTATTTGGAACACGTGTGGCCTTAATTTGTGAGCCACATGAGGCCCCCTTCCAAAAAATCTGGAACTCTCTCTTTTTCCTTTTTTCTCTCATGCCTCTTATCTCTCTGATATCACTCTTGAACGCTCTCTTCTTTCCCATGAAAACCATACAACACCACCTCTAAAACTTGTCGAATCGATCACCAAACAAACATCACAACAAGCCTTCTTTCTTCATGAGCTCAAGGATGAGCTTTAGATCGTGAAAAAATGACAACAAACTGACATCCTAGAACCTAAAACAAAGATGAGACTTTTCTGACAAGATTCAAGCCATCTCTGACCATCTTTTCAAATTCTAGTAGATATGAGAATATTCTATTCTTCTCTAGCTTCATTTTGGTATTTGGATAGTCGAATTTGGTTAAAAAATGAAGAAGATATGATGATTTAAAATTTTTCCAATTTTTCAACAAGAATTCCCCAGATTCCGGCAATTAACAGTGCCAATGCCGCGACTTAAGGAAAGAAGGAGGATAATGAATATTCCGTTACAATTCAAAATATTTCTTAAACAACGTTAGGTATATTCTGGTATATTCCATTTAACTTAACGAAATACTTCGTCCTAAGACGTAATATTCCCACCAAGCCCAAGCCCGCGAATGGTGCGTGTGGTGATGTGTATTAGGTTCAAGGTCATAGACAACGACGTGTGGTGGCGGCCAGGACCGAAAATCCAAAATGTCTTTCTTAGCTAATTTCGATGCCCTAAATCCATTTTTGGCATCTGTTTAACATAATTCCACTATTTAAATGTAGTTTTGTGGTTGACCGCCACTTACTCTTGTGATTGGAAAAGATTAGACCGTCGAATCGTTTTGAAATTTTAGGATGTTGTTGTGAAGTATAATGAGGCCTTTAGGAAGTTAGGGATCAAAAATCCAACTTGCGGATCTTCTGGATTGAGTTATGTAGGGTTGTTGACCCTATCATTGATGATTGATTGAGGGTTGACTTTTGGTCAACGTTTTTTGAATCCTTATAGAATGTCCTAGAAGACGTGTACAACCTAAAGTTATGTGTTTTATAATAGAATTTTGAGACACGGCTTGTTCTTTGTTCTAGGCAACTATTATACGTGAACGCCTCGTTCTTTATGCTAGGACTAGTAGCACGAACTCGAGGTAAGTGACTTTAATATATATGATATGGTGATTACCCATGAAATACCTATGCTAGTATACTTATTGGGTATGATATGGCTTTATAAATTTGTTTTCTACTAGATATTGCATTTATATTTAACC